TACATTTATATTTATTTCCATTATTAATTAATGTAAAATGGTTATAGATATATGATTTTGATTTTTTAGGGTTGATAGAGTCATTACTATTATCCCTTGTGATTCATAAGTAAATGCAACAGTCCTGGAAACACCCGGTGTCAGTGTTGTCAAAGGATATCTTCGGGACAATGTTGAGACAAAAGGTATTTTTTAAAATGTAAATGCACAAAATTTACTTAAAAAAACTGCTTTGGATTATTAATTAAAGTTGTTTGAAATTGATTTTTATATATATCTATAAAGTTTAATGCTCATTTATAGGTTGGTTAAGGGTAGGGACAGTCAAAAAAGCCTGGGACATGCAAATTTGACAACACTGCCCGGTGGTACATTACGGTTTTGAAGAGGAAACATCTTCCTTTAATGTTCCAAAAGAAAGATGTTTCTTGGTCAATCTTAACGAGATGGAGAAAGTCATTCATTAAGTCATAATTTTCAAGTTACAATTGTAAGATTAATTTAACTCCACAAATGACCGCGTCGGGATTAGGTAAAGAGTCTCTATTACGACAGGTTTGATGTTAACAATTGGAGGTATGTCCTCGAAGTATTATACTTTTTTTTTACTTTGGTTTCCTCTCCTTTTTTTGAAGTGATTTGATATTTTTAAAACATTTGAGAATTTGAAAAATTCTTAATAAAGAAATAAATAAAAAGCAAATCGTCAAAAATTGAGGAAATAAATTTGATATAAGAGAAGAATTTGAATAATGTTGTTTATTTGGATTGGATGAATTGGTATGCGATTATAAAAAAAGGTATTTTTATTTTTATTATTATTTACTTTTAACTTTTATTCAAAAATTAATTAAATATTTAATTATGTAGGAATGATCCATTGAGATAATTGCTTTCGAAAACCACTTAGGGAATTATGCGATTAAATAATTGGACGCTTCTTTTTGAATTAATTTTATTCACAATAAACATGATGACGTGACGCATCATTAGTCTTCTATTTGATTTAATGTAAAAATAGTTTTATTATAATTTAATTATTATTTCAAATTTTAGACATCATCATAATTTAATTTTATTTTATTTTTTCACTTTAGAAAAAATAATATTCCAACGGCAACAATATTAGATTCATATGATTCAGGCAAATTATAAACAGTGTACCTTCCTTTATTTATTTATATATATATAGATATATTTATATATTTGTTACTAATTTTATAGAATATATAATATATGTTGTATATAACAAGTATAATTGATAAAAATAAATTTCAAAAAAAAAGATTGAAAAGAATGTATAAATATGTAAAACATTTAAATAAAAAATATATATATATATACAGTATATACGTTTGAAAACATTAGAAAATCAGAAGATATGGAAAATATATATGAAGGTGGATATATTTGTGATGAGATGAGATGAGATGACGGGGAGGGGAGAAAAGGAGGAAATGGATATACAGTATTCATTTATTATGCTACAAAGAAATGAGCATGTAAAAAAAAAGGAAGAACCAGTTCCTCCTCTACTTTCGTGACGATTATTTCATGTATCATGTATGGAGTTAAGTCTGGCATGAACTTGCACGGCTTGATCAAATTTCTTTTTCCTTTTGGCAATAAATTCAGGTGAGTCTTGGTTAATATTAATATATATTTTATAATAATTAATGAATTAAAAAATAAAATTTTAAAAATGAATCAAGATTTTTTCAATTTAATTATTTATAATGATAGTAAAAAGCTAGCGAGATAAAATTCGGGATTAGTCTTTAATTTATTTATAATTTATTGTTGTCTTCCGGGTAAAGATTTGAACATTTAAAATTATTTTACTAGCCATGAATTTTTATCTTAACAATAAAACATTATGATTTCTAAAATTGTTATTTACCTTTTAATTGCATTACTTTCAATATTAGTTTTTGTAACCAGAAAGTGTCCTTGCACATGGATAATATCACCTTTTTTAAAAAAAAATTCTAAGTCATATTTATTATTTGATTCTTGAGGATAATATATCAATATTTTGGTGTTTTGAAAAATTAATGCCAACAGTGTTCACCACAAAATTTGTTCTTGTAAAACGTTTCATTGCATTGGCCAATACACGGAATCTTTTTAACGAAAAAATAATCTTTTGAAGAAAATTGAAAGGAAACCATTATTTGAATAATTAAAATCATGCGAAAATTAATTCTATAATTATTCATTGTTTTTACACAAATAATATGGTTTTGTTTTGTTCATCATTCTGTTGTCTTACAGTATATTCAACAACAAAAAAAAATATCTAATCAACCTCCATTCTGAGGTAAAAGTTTTCCTTCTACCTCTAAAATCTCGATTTGAGATATAATATAATATAATTATATTAACATGTAGAATTTAGGATAATACAATAAAAGTGGCTAACGTGGGAATACTATCGGAGAATTTTTTTTGAAAAGGAAATTTGTAGCACTCCTTTCTTTATTCAATAAAAAAATCAATGGATTCCTGTCACACAAGTCTTTTCTTATATCATATATTGTAAAAAACAAAAAAAAAAACAAAATTTTAAAACGTAAAAAAAATTGAAATCAACTAGAAAAAGACGAATTGTTTAGACGGTTAATTGGTGTGTAAAGTATACGATAAAACTTTTTTATGTTGTTGATTACTTGTTTTTAGTCAAACGATTTAATCTTTTTCTTTTTCCCTTTTTATAGGTTAGTTTTATTTTATCATAAATTTTTAAATCGTGGAAATTTTCTGGAATGCATTTTTATAGGAAATATTTATCATCGTATTATAAAAAATTCAAATACTATGAGTTTGAATTCAATAATTTACGATATATAACACAAGAGTAAAGCTTTCGCATTATTGGTCGCGCTGGAATTCTGTTTATGCTTATTTTATATTCTTGTAGCACAAATAGCAATTAAAATAATTAAAATGTTAATTACAATATTTATTTTATATATCTTTATTTGTACGTTTAAATAATTTTAATCCACGAAAAATGTCTGCCAAACTTCTTGACCGTTTATCAAGCGACCTTACACGACTTCTTGAAGACCCCATTGATTATAATGTTACAATTGAAATTGGTGAAGCTCCTGATAACCAAATTTTTAAAGTTCATCACTATATTTTACAATCCCGTAGTCCTTACTTTAAAAGGATATTCAGCGAAACTCCTTTTAATGACGATCATATCAAAGTATTAACGATACTTAACACTAATATTTCTATTAAAATATTCAGTATTATCACCAAGTAACTGTAATCTCTTAAATTTATCTATTTTTTTTTTTTTTGAAGTTAAGGTATACTTAAATAAATAATAATAATATGAATATGTTTTACTTTAGGTATATTTACAGTGGAATAATTTCCTTGGAAGAATTGGAAAGAAAAATTATTTTTGACTTTTTAATTGCTTCTAATGAATTGGAATTAGATGAATTAGTTGAATATCTCCAAATTTTTCTTGTTGACAATTGTGCCTCTTGGTTAAGACTAAAATTTGCTCAAATTTATCGAACAAGTTACCAAGTCAAAAATCTTAAAATAATTCAAGACTTTTATAATGATATTATTGCAAAACATCCTAATATGATTTTTGAATCTCACAACTTTTTTACCCTCCCTGAAGATGCATTAATCTCTATTCTTAAGCGAGACGATTTACAATTAGAGGAAGGTAAAATTTGGGAATATATAATTCAATGGGGTAAAGCAAAAACACTTACTTTGACTCGTAGTCTTGATGAATGGACAAGTGAAAATTTCTTAACTTTAAAGGGAAATTTGAAACAATGTCTCCCACATATCAGGTATTTTAGCATTTCCCGTGACGATATGATAGAAAAGGTTTTTCCATACCAGCAGATTTTAGAGCCTAAACTTTTTTTGGATATTAATTCCCAAATCGATTCATTATGTAATAATTCGGGAGAGAAGTTTGCACGGGGGTACGATCAGCAATAGGTTAGTTAGATTTCAGATTTTTTTTTTTTACAAAAGTACTTCAACAACTAATTGAGATTCCGTTTCAAACGTTATTGTAACTAATGTAACTCCAGACAGCTTATCATGACCCCAAACAATCCAATTTTCTCAACGGCATTACCACCTCGTAAGATATTAACTACCACCCTACAACTAGAAATTCATTACTTTATTCTTCTAATATTATCACCAATGAACATTCACTGGAAATTTCATCCTGGATTGATAGAAAAGAAATCCCATATATTGGAAATAATCCATATGACTTCGAATTAATTGTTAAAGGATCTAGAGATGGATTTAATATTAAAACTATTTATGAAATTTGTGATCAAGTATCTAACACGGTTATTATTTTAAAATTGAATGGAACTGGAGAAATTCTTGGAGGATATAATCCCCTTAAGTGGGAGAAAAATAATAATCAACATAAAAATACACAAAATAGTTTCACGTTTTCATTGAAAACGGCGAATCTGAAAGATTAAATTTTAAGTGAGTGATGTGGAAATTTAAATATGCCATTTTTAATTATCCAAGAAATTAAAATTTTGTTTTGGAGATGCTTTATGTTTAGCAGGCAATTTGAGAATTGAAGAAAATTGTTATTGTAGTGTTAGTGACGCATATCCTACACCAATTCGTTCCGATAAATTTACAGCACGTAAATACATTCGAGATGAACAATTATTTTCGGTTGAAGAATATGAAGTTTTCAAAGTTTTATCACGAAATAATTAAGTAGTATAAGTATACATTCTTTTTTGAGTATATTTTTTATATTTAAATTTTTTTAAAAAAGTTATTTTTATTGATTACAAATTTAGAAGCAATCTAATTAACATTTATTTATTATTACTAATAAATTTTCACGGTAATTAATTAAATCACTAATAATCAAATATCGCTTACAAAATTTTGTGAAAATAATAAACAAAATTTGAAATTTTGAAAATTCGACAATATTAAAGAATTTGACTTCTTTTTAGATTGATTGAATATTATTTTTATTTTTTAATTAAAATCATTCTACTTGTTTGTCAATTCAGATCAGAAATATCTTGGAATAAATATTTTATTATTGATAGATGTTACACAAAAAATATTTCAAATAAAAAAATTTTATTTACGTATTTTACTATTAAAATAATCTATCAAGTAACCTTACTCAACATCTTGAAAGTGAAGTTATCTATGACGTCTCGATTGATGTTGGTGATGTTCCTTTTGCCAAAGAAAATACCGGAATTATTTAATCGTGTCAAAACATCAAAAGTTAAAATATTTAATGCTATTATCAAGCAAGTTTAATTTTATAAATTTTATTTCTAAAAGTACTATTTAATGAAAACGATTTCATAATTTTTTGATCGCTCAACTTAAATTGGAGTTAACCAAATTTCTTGATGAAAACTGTGCTTCTTTTTAAGGCTAAAATTTGCTTAGGCTTACCAAACATGAAAATAATTCTAGGTAAGTAATCTATTTTTATTTTTTTAAAAAAAAAAATCAAAAGAAGATAATATGTGCATATTCATATATTCACATATAAACTCATGAGCTCACAATAACGGTAATAAATTTAATACTCTACAATAAAAATTCAACACTTAAAAACTTAAAAGGAAATAAAATCTAAAAAAGTAAGCTGGTAACTTTATTCTTCAGGACATGCACTATCATACTATAGGTCAGATTTTTAATTAAAAATCTGTAAGAATTTAAAAAGTACATACATAATTTTATATGATTAGTAACAATATGAAACAATATATTTTGTAATTTCGTGTTTTTTTTTGCTCGAATTTATGTTCTTTTGATTATCATTGATTATCGTAGTATAGAATTTTTGTCCAATATTATTCCTTTTTCGTAAATTCACGGTACGAGATGCTCTCGTCCAATTGGTGACAAAGTAAAAGAAAAAAACTTGGCCATGAAACTCTTTTTTGGGAAGATTTTAGTGACCCGAAATGGAAAAAAAGGTCTAAAACTAGCGATCCATTTCCAAAAGGAATTGCTAGAACTTCTGTTGTTTTGTTTATGACCTTGACCTGAAACAATATTTGATCGTCGCGAAACTCCAAATTCCATTGTTTGCTATAAATAGAAAATTTTTTTGGAAATCCATAATTCCTTTTTCTTTTTCTTTTACAAATAACTGTAAAACAAATTGCAAGAATAATCTATTTTGTACAAAAAAATCATCCCTCTTTTAAAATTTAATTTTTTTTCGGAATAGCTTTTCTCTTTTGGTGCGAAATTATATAAAAATAGTATCACAAGCAAGTATGCATTCGCATTAATTGAATATATTATTAATGACTTTCTTAAGCGAAGTCAATCACGAGATTTTCCGTTGAATATGGCCAATCAAAATCGTGAATTTTTGTTTATACGATAACTTTACATATAATCTATACTAGTGTGATGGCCAAATTGATCTGTTAAATTTTGTCAAATGTTCCAGATAATAATTGACAATTTGATAGTTACATGAATCATTTTTTATTTTTTTGAGCAAAATAATGAAATGGTTCAAATGTGTTTCTATAATGGGGTGACTGGATGAGTGATCTCGAAGGGGACTTTAAAGTAATCCTTGGCATAATAATATTTTCCCAAATCTAAAGGATTTGCAAAGGACGAATTTATTTCCTTTTTGACTAATCGATGATTTTATTATTAGGTATGAATGTAATTGTAATGGCTGTTACATGTAACAACTGGAAAATAGGGTTGGAAATATTTTATTTTAAAAATAATTATTTTCTAGTATTGCTTAATATAAAAAATTTGAGTATTTATAATCAAAGAAAATTCATCTTTCAATCCATTTGTAAGCCAGCTTAGCGAAACAAATATTCAAGTACTTTCTACCTTCTGAACAGGTTTAATTAGTTGCTCAAAGGCAGTTTACTTTGACAAATGCATTGAAATTATTTAAAAAATTCGTGAGTATTTGTAATTAAAGAAAAATTCATATTTCGATCTGTTTATAAGCCAGCTTAGCGGAAACAAATATTAAATTACTTTTATACCTTCCGACCAGTTTTAATTAGTTGCTCAAAGACAGTTTACTTTGTCTAATGTATTTGAAATTACGCCTCAAAATTCTGGATGTAAAATGAAACTATAAAAAAATTCGTGAGTATTTGTAATTAATGAAAAATTCGTATTTCAATCGGTTCATAAGTCAGCCTAGTGAAAACAAATATTCAATTACTTTCATACCTTCTAAACAGTTTAAATTAGTCGTTCAAAGAAGTTTACTTTGAAATTACGTTTCAAAATTCTGGAAGTGTAAAAAATTCGAGTATTTGTAATTAAAAAAAAAATTTATCTTTTCGTTTGTAAGCCAGCTTAGTGAAAGCAAATATTCAACTAATTTCATATCTTCCGAACAGTTTTAATTAGTCACTGACACTAAAAGGCAGTTTAACTTTGACGAATGCGTTGAAATTACGTTACAAAGTTCTGGAAGTGTAAAAAAATTAATAAGTATTTGTAATTAAAGAAAAATTCATATTTCAATCTATTTGTAAGCCAGCTTTGCGAAAACGAATATTCAATTACTTTCATACCTTCTAAACAGTTTTAATTAGTTGCTCAAAGGTAATTTACTTTGATAAAGTTTTAAGGTATAAAAAGAATCTAAGTATTATTCTTGTATTTGCAAATCAAGTATAGTGAAAAATCAATTGAAAACAATTTATTTCATTTTAATAATAATTATGCAATAAACAAAAACAAATCACACGACGCGTTACTTCAATTAATCACTATTAATTATTAAAAATTTTAATACTAATATTAACAATTTATTAAAAATTTATTAAAAATGACCGTTGCATTAATTGATTTTGATCATGACCACCTTCTTCTTTGCTAAGAAGTAGATTTCTCGGCATTTCATTTTGCAAATCCTTTGATTTGGAAAATTTTATTATACCAAGGACTGGTTTCAGTTTCCAAAGTTTCCTTTGAATCGCTTTGATCATTCATCCAGTCTCCTCCTCCATTATAGAACCTCACATGGATCATTCATTTTTCTGCTGAAAAAAATATTACATTTAATCAAGCGCTGATTTGAGTAATTTGTGTATCTGCAACTTGCACACTTCCAATGATTATTTGAATTCACAAAATCCATCACACTTCATCCTACAGTAACGTGACACTACCAATACAGCCAATGAAAAACGTTAAAGCGCACAATCCCGTCTTTATATGGGCAGTGATAAGTGATTATATTCAGATTGTGATTATATAAAACATTTTTAATTTCCAGTGATTATATATAGGAATGTGATTAATTATACAACCAATCATTTGTATAAATCATGCATGATAAATTAAATATATTGTGGAACAATTTTTTGTTTCGTTATGTCATTGTCATATTGATTTATGAAATATTAAAACAATGACCTTCTTTATTAATGTTAATATTTGTTGTCTAGTTTTATTTGTTTAATTATTTTTGAAACGTGATTATGCGAGCAGAACTTTATTGTATCGCATCATTTATTACTTTTAAAACTTATGACCTTAATTTTTTTTTTGTTTCGCTATTATCTGTCTTTTTTTTTTTTTGTTACGTTTTATTATTTATGAAACATTAGAACAATGACTCTATTAATTTTAATAGTTGTTGTCGAAGTTTTATTTTTTATTATTTTTTTGAAACGTGATTATGCGAGTGTGTACATACTTTATCTCATCGTAACGTTTATTGTTTCAAAACTTACGACTTTATTTTTTTGTATCGTCATTGTCCGTCATATTTATTTATAAAATATTTGATTTAATTTTTTAATTTTCGCACTTCACTTCCTAAACTTTATCAATTTCCATATTTTTTATAAAAATAATTATTATTATTATAAAATCAATTTTTTTTCTTCTTAATATTATATCAAGATATCAAATAAATTAAGTGGATTTCATTTTTGACATGGAATTTAAATTATTGCCAAAAAATCAAGAAAATTTCTTTTATAACATAAAAATCGATCCAGAAGATTTTCAATATTGTAGTTATTGCTGGAAAAAAGCTGTGTATTATCGTATGTGCAATTATTGTGTGAAATGGGATTGGGGTAAATGTTATGACTGTGGAAAACCAAACTGTGCAAGAAGGAAATGTCCAGACTGCGAACAAATTGCATTAATTTATACATCTGAATATTCTTTACCACAGACAAGTGAAAATTATGAAATAGACGAGCCAATTGAAGAAGGTGAATTAGAATATTGTAGTATTTGCTGGGGTGAATTTAGAAAATTTCATCTCTGTATTAATCTCAGTGTCACAGATTATGGAAAATGTTATGACTGTGGAGAATACAAAATTTCAGAAGAATGGTGTCCAAACTGCAAACCACTAGAAATAATTCCTACATTTTCATCATGGACAAGTGGAAGTGATGAAATTGACCAGGTAATTCAAGAAAATCAATTAAACCCAAGTTCTTTTCATTGGGAATGGATTGATTATACCGAATTACATAAAATTGAATATCTATCAGAGGGTGGATATGGTACTGTATATAAAGCTTTATGGAATAATATGCCAGAAGAGGTTGCAACAAAATATTCAAAAAATGAATCAAAGATGATAGCAATGAAGAAATTAAAAAATTCTCAAAATGACACTAAGGATTTTGTTAATGAGGTAAATATTTATTTATATTTGTTATTTGTATTTTTGATATTTTGATATTTTGATATTTTGATAATTATTATTTTACATTTTAATACAGATCAAAATATATAATGAAAATATGTTAAATGGAATTGTACATATATATGGTATGACTCAAGATCCAATTACAAAAGAATATGCTATAATTATGGAATATCATGATGAGGGGGATTTGAAACACTTCATAAGACAAAAAGAATTAAGTTGGAGTGATAGATCAATTTTGCTAAAAGGTATAATAATTGGAATTAATTCTATTCATAGCAATGGATATATTCATTGTGATCTTCATCCTGGTAATATTTTGCAACGTATATATGAAAGCAATTACCCACACCAAGAATTAAGTGATCTTGGATTAAGTAAACCAATCAATTATGAAGCAAAATCAAATGAAATTTATGGAATAATTCCATATTTAGCACCTGAAGTATTACGTGGAAACCCATTTACGCCTGCATCAGATATTTATAGTTTTGGAATGATTATGTGGGAATTAACATCTAAAAAGTCACCATTTGATTATCGTCCACACGATGCACACTTAATTATAGATATTTGTAAAGGTGTTCGTCCAGAGATTGTGAAGGGTACCCCAGATATTTATACATATTTAATGAAATCATGTTGGGAAGGTGATCCCTCTAAAAGGCCAACTGTTAATGAAGTAGATAGATTTCTTTCAATGTGGGGAATTTTTCTCAAAGACGGCGAGGAAATAAAAAATAATATAAATCATGAAATATCAACACAACATCCCGAGGCATATAATATAAGTAGACCATTAAGTAATCTTATCAATACTGCAAAATTATTTTCAAGAGATTCTAGAGAAGATGATTTAGCCATAGAATGGCCAGGTAAAAATATTGATTTTTTATTTAAAATTTAAAACTGATAATCAAGTAATTTTATTAATTATATTTAAATTAATTTATAGATTCTAATTCAGTTAATATTAATGATGAAGTCAACGAAAAATTAAAAACAAATACTCTGATTCAGAATGAAGGAAATATTCAAGCAGATTTCAATCGTTACTCTATTAAAATTAATTTTTTTGTTTTTTTTTATATCAATTATTTATCAATAATTTATCAATTATTTATCAATTATTTATATAAAAAGTAAATTCATTTTGTTTATTAATCATATTTACTCTAATATTTTATGATAACATTTTATCTGTTAATAAATAAAATAATTCATATTTAAATAATTAATTGATATCGTGAAAGGGTATTATTAGGAAAGATATAGATATAATTTGACTTTATTTTATTCCGAAGAAAATTGTATAAATAATCAAGTTCATTCATTATCACATTATAAATCTCGGCACATAAATGGATTTTACATAAATAAGAATTATTTGAATAATATATTATTATATCCAATTCTTTAAATTTGAAATGAATATAATAAATATGTATATTTATATTATCTTTTCTTCATAATTTTGCAAATATTTTCCTTATTTCCTTTTCATTATTCTTTCGTAAATATTTTTTGTGAAATTAAACCTATTATATTAATAATTATAATTCCATGTAGTCATAGTCGTATAGATCTTCAGTGTATAAATTTATATTATAAGAATTATAAAAAAGAATTATAAGAATTGAATATAGAATAACATTGTAAAAATTATCCTTATATATTGTTTCAGTTACTAATATTCAGTTACGAAATTTAATTTAATTGTATATAAACTTTATGTATACATGTTCTGGATCTTTTAATATAGAACCAATTAACTCAATTGACTCAATTGTCATCGTCATCCAGGAAAGAAAGCTAAATTAGTTTAGCATCATCACTAATGAATTAAATATTACCAGCTTCACTTCTTTTTTATCACATATATCGTTAATTCTTTGAAATGGAATGAACTTTAAAAATTTGATTAATTGCAACATTACAATCTATAGAGTCTTCAAAAAGATGAGCAAGGCCGTTTGATAAACGGTAAAAGAAATTGGGTAGACATTTTTCGTGAATTAAAAACTATTAAACGATAAAATTGAGGGCAAGTTGTACAACAGTAGGTGGTCAAAAGTCAGTTGAAAATTTTTAAAAAAAAATTACCAATTTAAAATGCTAATTGTGCCACAACGAGTGATCTAAATTGCATAAACTTTTTTATTAGATTACGATATATATCTATTTTTTTTAAAAAAAATTAATTGACAAAAACAATAAATTTACAGTGGCGATCAAAAGTATTGCATCACCTGAACAAATTTTTTAAAATTTTAATATCTTGTGATTCTGGGAACACAGTGCTACATACTTCATTAATAGTTTTGTCAAACCTTATATTTATCCCCTGCATCATCTTTTTTTTATTTATTTTGAAAATTTTTTCAGAAATAAAAATAATATTCGGAACCTGCGATGCATTTTTTTGATCGTTTTGAAAAATAAACATAAACAAGATATACAAAATTTTTTTTCTTCTAAACACACAATGTAGTACATATAAAAAAGATACTTTATTGTTTACTCTGTTATTAATTTTTTTTTAAACTATTCATGATATATTTACCTGTTGAAAAAAGAGCCCGGGTTTATGCACTACTTGAAGAAGGATATCCTTCTCATTATGTAGCAAATAAAGAAAATATTTCACAATTAACAGTTATAAGAATTAAACAATGTAAAGATAAGACTGGTACATTTAAGAATCAACCAAAATCTGATCACCCAAGACTCATAACTGACCGTATTGAATAAAATGTTATATGATTAATTACAACGGGTGAGTGTACAAATGTAGTTGCAATCCAAAAAAAATTAAGAACTGATGATCAAATTGATGTTAGCGAGTGCACAATAAAGAGGACATTATACCAAAATGGTTTGGGTGCACGAGTGAAGTGCAAAAAACCATATCTTAAAAAAACACATAGAATTGCTTGTATAAGGCTTGCAAGAAAATATCAAAAATGGACTATAGAAGACTGGAGCAAAGTAATCTGGTCTGATGAATCAAAATTTATGATTCATGGATCAGATAGAAGGGAATACTGTTGGAAACGATCCAAAGAACCATTACATGATCATCATGTTAAACCTACAGTCAAATTTGAATGGGGCAATATCATGGTATGGGGATGCTTCACATCTGATGGTGTTGGTAACATTGTCAGAATTTATGGACACATAGATGGAAGTTTATATTGACAAATTTTGGAGGAAGACCTATTAGGAACCATCCAGTGGCATGGGTTGGATAAAGATAATATCACTTTTCAGCAGGATAATGATTCTAAACACACTGCTCATTTCACAAAATAGTGGTTTGAGGATAATGACATTAGGGTATTAGATTGGCCAGCACAATCTCCGGATTTAAACCCTATTGAGCATCTGTGGAACGAAATTGATCAACAATTAAGGCGACTTGAAACCCCTGTTAAAACTCAGGATCAGTTGTGGGATGCAATCCAAAAAATTTGGGTAGAATTGGGAATAGATGTTTGTAAGAAGCTAGTAGACACCATGCCAACTCGTATAAATGATGTAATTAAAGCAAAGGGTGGTTATACTAGATGGTAAAAAATAGTTTTTAAAAATTTTAATATTATTGAATTGTTTTTTGTTATATTTTTTTACATAAATTAAAAAAAAAAACTAACGATCAAAAGAAATGCATCACATAAATCATAAAAAATAAATTTTTTAAAAATTTTGGTCTTATTAATAAGCAATAAATTTTATTTTATTGAATCTAATCATTTTCGGGAGTCTAATAAAATTTTTATGTTATGTTGTACATCATGTATTACGAGATATAAAAATTTTAAAATTTTTATTCATACTTTTGATCGCCACTGTACCTTTGGAATTATTTGTTTTTATATCTATTAAAAGAATAAATAGTATAAATATATTAATATATTAAAATTATTAACATTATGTAAATTTAAATATAACGCATCATATAATTTAATGGCATATTTATAATTTTAGTTTCTAATCATTTCAGGCAATACTTGATTTCTCGGTAAAATTAAGTGAGGAATTTTGTACATAGATATTCCAACACTTAAGGAAGGAAGAAAAATCTAAATAAATAAATTCAGTTCAGTAAATGAATAAAAAAAAATAATACATCGCAATAAAGTTCGTGAAGACATACCTAACTACCTGAATTTTATTATCCTCACGATATAATTTACCAAATGATTTTCTACTACCTATCTATTTATAAATACAGTATATGAAATTCAATTGATTTTATAAATTCAAATTAAAGAAATTAATTTTTCAATTTATTTTTTCAAATCCTAGAATTTTTTAAATTCTAAATTCTTTACTCAAAAAATTATCATACAAAAAATGTATGGAGTTTCATGCACAATCCTCAGAAGAAGGTATGATAGCAGAAGGGTCTCATACGTTATCATGCCCAGTGGAAAGAGATTCTACTCTGGAACATGCATACCAAGGAGATATCGATGAGGTTGTGGTTATCAGGAAAGGCAGATTCTGACAATTCACATATGAACTCATTGAGTGGATATTCAACAAATGCAATATCAAGATCATGGTTCTCAGCATTGATATAAATCATCAGATCCAGACACCACAGAACTCGCAAAGAATCTTTTATCAATCATTACAGCAAGGCATAACAGTCTTAGAGCCACATCAAACAAGAAAAGAAGAGCATGAGAAGCTCAAGAAAAAGAATGCGAAGAGGTCAAAATGGATGGTCCATTGAAAACTCTAAAGATTTCAATGTACCCAAACAAAGAACAAAAAGAAAATTATTAAGATGGATGGGTATTATGAGATGGACATATAGCCATGCATTAAGATTGATCAAACAAAGAACGCAAAGAAATAGAGAAACATTAAGAAAATTGGTAATTTACAAAAAATAATTTTAAAACACAAAACCAATGAGTTAAAGAAACACCGGATGGTATAAAAGACCTGACATTAAATGGACTCTCATAGCATATAATACAAATATAAAGCAAGGAAAAAATTTGAAATCAAACTAAAAACAAGAAAAAACGAGGTAAATTCAATAATTATGCAAGCAAGAGATTTTTACAAACAAAAAGGCAAAAATTTTTCATTTTTAAAAATATCAAAACATCAGAAAAATTACTAATTATTAAATACTCATTCAAAACAAATTAAATAAATTTCACATCTGCATACCAATATCGTACAAAAAAAAATTACAAAAGAAAATGAAGTTATAATATTATTAGATCCAGGTGTTTGCACGTTCATGAACGGATAAAATCCAAAAGGAAAAATAATTGAATGTGAGAAGAATGACATCCAAAGGATATTTATGATATCAAAAGGATATGATAAGTATCAAAGCAAAAGGTCTTTGCTAAAAGAAAAAACAAACAAAAGAAAAAGATACACAATCAAAAGAAAAATAAATAAATTTACAAAAAGATAAGAAATTTAATTGATGATTGATTGTTACAAGAAATTTACAGAATATCTCTGTGAAAATTACAAATTAATCCTGCTACCAAAATTTGAAACCCAAGAAATGATGAACAGGATGAAACGAAAGATCAACAGCAAGACTACAAGAAATATGATAACCTGGACTCATTACAGGTTTAGAACACAATATGTGCAAATATCCATGAAGAATATTAATAATATGTAAATAAGATTACACGTCTTTGACGTGTGGACAATACAATTTACATAAAACATAACCTTGGTAGATCCAAAATTTACAAATGCAATTCATGTGATTTTGAGATTGATAGGGAGCAAGAAACATCTTGCTCAAACACCTGAGCCAGGGAAACCTGGAACTGGCCTACCACGCTCAATCTGTAAAAAAAGGTTGTTCTATAAACCAAATACTAATAATATCTTTCATTGTAAATGTTTGGTTTTTTTGTAGGAGGTGGTAGTAGACAAAATGATTACCGGGATTTTTTTTTCTTCTGATTTGTCATGTATCAATATTTTGAAAAAATGACTTAATTGTTGCTTGGATTCCATTTTTTATTTATATTCTATAAAGTCTTACAAATTAAAAATTTAGAAAAAATAGAAAAATTTCAGTATGCGAGAAGAATATTATGCACGATAATAATCAGGTTTCTTAATATCAATTCCATATTCAGATAATGCGGCTGTAAGATCTTCCAAAGTTAAAACAGTCTTGGTACGTTGCTAAAATTAAATAATTAAATAAGATTAAATAAAATGAAATAATCTTAAATAAACTTAAATAAGAATAAATAAGCTTAAATAAGATTAAATAAATAAATAAAATACTATTTTCTAATTAAAAGATACCTTTCCTACATTCTTTTTACTTTGCTGTCTAATTTTACAATATTGAAATGCATCAGTTGCAATATCTGCTAAAAATTTTTGAGCCGCTAAAGACATTAATCGCATCCTTTTGGTTATTTAGTTATTGAAGATGATAAATTAATATAAAATGGTTTAATTTATGAAGACAACGAAACAAAAAAAAAAACTACTAAAAAATAAACACAAACACTCGAATATCATCGCATTGAACACCTGCTCTGGAGAGATAATATTCTGTGACAAGTTCTGGTATCTTTTATTAAATTATTATATTTTTTTTTTTCAGGCACATGTAAAAAATGAATTATGATATATGTGGATATTTTAAGAAAAAATTCTATTTTAATAAAATAAATTATAATTTTAAAAATAAATCAAAGGTGTATGTATACATATGTAATATGCAAATATATAAGTTAATGGGTTTATACACCAAATTTTTTCCCTTACAAGAGGTTCAAAGTCATCCATTAATGAAAGAAATTCCAATAAAGAACGATCCTTTTCTATAAATTCTTCTTCTTTTCTACCAAGTTCAAATTTATTGGAACTAGAAGAGGAGGCTCTATCGTCGTCAGCATCTTCACTAGGTTCAGGATATTCGTTTTGTGCTTCGTTGCTAGATAATATTTCCCCTATCTCTTCTAGTTCTGCTCTACTGGTTGGTGATTCAACAAAAATTTCTTTTCCCTTTCCTTTATCAATGTTCTGATCATCGGAATCTAAACCAAAGTCCATATCAGACATTTTTCATGAAAGACAATCAAAAAATTGGTTGCATACATAATATATATATCATCATAATACAGTAATATAATATATTTAATGTATCATTATGTATTTTTATACGATTGATTTGGATTGATAATAGATAAAATCTTGTTCACTAGCACGTGCAAACATCTTCGATCATAAACCTCGACTTCAATATACTTCAATTTGAAACATCGATGGATCATTCACGAGACGAAAGTCGAGGAAGTCGTAGAAGTGATGGTAGCTTATTTGTTCTTAGTCAGACTTTTCTTGTATTTCTTATATCACCTGCTCTTTTTTTTATCGTTAATAAAAAACGTATAAATTTATTTAAATTATTTAAATTATTAAAAAAAAAATCTATTAGGTGGAAGTAAAAAAAAATATAGAGGTATTAATTAAAAATTAAAATTAGTCCTCCCTTATAGTATTTATTTTATAAGATTTATAAAATTTTACAAATTATAGATGACGAACGTCGACACGATAGAAGACGAGAACATATTAGAGGATATGGGGAAGTTTATGAACAGCATGTAGAAGATAGTCCTGAAAAAAGGTTGACTACGCTTTTAATTATATTGGGTGATAAGGTAAAAATGATGATTGATTGATATAAATAATTTTTTTTTTTGTAATAATTAACAATTTTTATAACAATCATTAAATTAAAATGTTATGAAAAAATAATAGATGACTCCCACAGAAATAAATAAAAATATAGACAAGGTAGCAAACGTTATTCTCTCGGAGTATTCTAAATATGAGACACACGTGTTAAAGACAATAAAGAATTGGTGTGTAAAGTTTTTGTATGTTGACTTTTTTTTTCTTTCATTTTGCTGATGAATACAATTTTCAATTTATAGCTTTATGGAATTACCAATGAAATCATTTATTTATGGAACTCTTGTCGGTCTGGTGAATATCAAAAGATCAGATATTGGTGCTGCTGTAGTAAAGACGACTTCACAAACTTTGCAACAATGTTTAAATGAAGGAAATTGGCATGGTGCAAAATTAGCAGTAAGTAATTATTATTTTTCATCTTTAAAAATTTATTTCTTTATAACGATAATCAATACTAATTATTATTTTTATTATTTATTATTTTTTATTATTTTTTATTATTTATTATTTTTATTATTTATTATTTTTATTATTTATTATTTTTTATTATTTATTATTATATTTATTATTTTTATTTTTATTATTTATTATTATATTTATTATTTTTATTTTTATTATTTTTTGAAAGCTCAAATTTTTTGCGGAATTAACGAATGCAAATGTTATTTTACCTAGAACTATGTTAGACATTTATGATGACTTGTTGACTACTCTTGATGAACCACGTGTAAAAATGGTATGGGAAATATTTCAATAGATTTAATATGTTTCAAATATAATAATTATCTTCATTATTATTAATCTTTAGATTTATCCTTGCAGTATCGTGCAGAAACAATTGTTCGCATAGTTTTATCTACATTACCTTATGTAAGTCAAAATTAACTCAAATCAATTTAAATTAATTCAAATAAATTACTGTAATTCAATTTCATTTTTAGAAAGGAAAAAACTTAATATTATTTTATGTTATACATTTAAATTATTTATTCAGGTAGGAATGCAACTGCGTAAAAAAAGTCCTGTAGTATTGGATAGTATGTTATCTAAAATTGAACGATACATTAGCGCGAGGTATAGAATTATATTAGAAATTGATGGATCTACTGTCCTTTCATCAGTCACTCCATATATTGGTTCAAATGTTCCGTATGATCAAGTGGATGTTTGTGTTAAACATTTTTCTTATTTCTTTTCTAAAAAAAAATGCTAAAAAAAATGGTTTGTTATATATATATATATATACGTATATGTATAGATTTAAATTTCCATAATTCTTTGTATATCATAGATGATGGAATTATTATGGATTCAGATTCAAAATCTAAAGCAAAATGATTGGGTGGTATGTTGTAATTTGTATTTAACTGCATATCATATCATAATAATAATATTTTTAATGCTTAATCTTTTATTCTTAATTCTTTATGTTTAATTTTTTTATACTTAATTTTTCTATTTAATATTTAAATATTTAATATTTATTATTTATTATAATTAGTGTTCAATACTTTTGAAACCATGGGCAGATTATGAAGATGTTTTAGAAAAAGCAGAACAAGTAAATTTAATTATAATAATTATAATTTAATTTATTATTCTCTATTATTTATTCAATCTAATTTAACAATATTATTTTTGTTAAAATAAAAAAGCACGAAGTTGATAAATTCATAGTTCGAGAACATCCTCAAGAAATAAATAATTCTTTACCAGTACCTTTATTTCGAATTTTTGTTGGATCAGATGATGAGGTATGTATTAATTTAACTAGTATTTTCATGTAAAAACATTATTTTTTTTTCCTAAATTCCTTTGATATTTTTTTTTTTTTTAGTCGAATATTGATTTTCATCAACCTTCAGATATAGCTTTCTTTCTTGTTAATGATATTGTCGAAGATATTATAGATTCATTCGAGATAAATCGCAAAGAATGCTCAAAATATTTAAAAGATCTTCCACATAATTTTGCATCAAAAACTTTTGTGGATACAGATATTAATGAATCTGAAACAAAATCTGATGAAAACGTTGAATCTGATTTAAAAGAAGATTTAAAAGAAGATATAAAAGTGGAATCAGATATGGATACTCCTAGTTGGAATAAAACATCACCACCAAATACAAATAATGTTAATTCTGGTTTCAAACTTGAACAAATTATTGTTGAGGTAATAAATTTATTTTTAAATTTATTTTTATATATATTTAAATATATAGATAAATCGATTTAACATTGATTTTATTTAATTTAATTTTTAAAGAGGATTTTTGCTCAGGTTTTTCGATTACCTCAACCTAAATATAAACCTATTTTTTATCATTCATTGTTGATTGAAATATGCAAAAGTATGCATAAAGTATTTCCACCTATTATATCCTTAATTTATCTTAATTTTATAATTTTATTTTGTCAAATTTTATTTATTTGAAAATTGTGTTTTTTTTTTTTTTTTTGAAAGAACTATCTTATTCCTTGACTTATGTGTAATGGCTTGTCTTACCTTGGTAAAGCCATTGGAATCCTTTTTGATCGTATTGATATTATGGATGTTGAATGTTGCTATCGATTTTGGAATTGGTTCGCTCATCATCTCAGCAATTTTGGATTCGTATGGAATTGGAAAGATTGGTATGAGTTTTATGAATTTATTTTTTTATAAATAAAATATATTCACAAAAATTTTTTTCCAACTCAAAAATAATATTAATATGATGTGAATATGTTATTAGGGAATATGTTTTGCAGTTAGATCCATCACATCCTAAAGTCTGTTTTATACGAGAAACTTTAGAGAAGACAATACGTTATAGTTATTATGATCGAATAAGAACTTCAATGCCTGAAGAGTTTTTAGCAATATTTCCGTCATCCGAACCTTCTATAAATTTTCGTTACAAAGATTCCCGTATGTCATAAATTTTTCGAATTTTTGATCTTTACCCTTTTTGTATTATTTTTATTATTTTAATTTTATTTTAATTTTTTTGGTTTACATTACAGAACATCCATTGTATAATCTATCCACAAATTTAATAAATAAACTTCGCGCAAAGAGTCCTAATAATGAAATAAAATCTATTTTGGAAGAAGTGGGTAAGAATTTTCCGGAAATGCCTCAGCTTGAACAAGAACAAACGATACGTGATTTGTTTATACAATGTGTTTTAATGCTGGGTAGCAAAAGTTTCAGTCATGTCTTGAATGTTGTTGAAAGGTATTTAATGGGATTTTTCATTCAAAATTTGTAGAGAAATTTTTGAAATTTTGAATTAATTTTTTCATTATTTAGATATCTACCCATTTTGCAAGCTTTGAATGAAACACCCGAAGCGCGATTACATACGGTGAAAATTGTTGCGGAATTTTGGGTCAATAATACTCAGGTGACAATTTTTTTTCCTCAAAATATTCATTTCTAATTCTTCATTAATCATATTTATATTTTAAATTATAGTTTTTGGGAATTTTACTTGATAAATTGTTAAATTACCGTGTTATCGATGCATTCGCAGTAATATCTTGGCTTTTTAGTGATGAATTAGAAAAGGATATATCAAAGTAAATACATCAAAATATATAATTAGATCTTTTAACGAGCCCTCGCGTTTGAACCATTCTTAATTTATGCTTGAATTTTTTATATACTAACGAAAAATTTGATAAATTTTTAGATCATATGTATGGGAAATCACGAAAAATACAATTAATAAAGTGATATCGCGTGTCAAACAAGTAACAAATAAGTTGGAAACAATAACAAACCCAGCGATTGAGAGAGGTAACTTGGGTGTTGATATAACATCTGAAGGTAATTATTTTAATGATTATGAATTAATTTGGATATTCTATATAGATTTTTTATCTTATTTACTGTATGTTTTATGATTGAAGAGCACAAAAAAGTCAGCCCTGATGAAATACAGAACATCGAAAATACTTTGAATATGGTAACCAGAGAACAAAAAGAAGTACTATCAAAAATGATTCAAATGTTTGTTACCATGCTTGACAATAAATTAAAGGAATACAGTGTGAAGGAAATCCAAGACCCATTTTCTCAATTATGGTTTTGGTGGGCATATGGATTCTTTAAAGAAATTAGTCGAACGGTATAGTGTTCAAAAAAAATTTTTATATAATTTGTAATTTTTCAATCATTTTTTTAACTTATTTTTATTTATGTGAACTTCAATAGTATCAACCACAAATTTCAACATTTATGGTTACACTAAAGACTCTGGTGATTTCACCAGGAATCGATGGCCGCATTCTGAATGTGATCGAAATGGTAAATGCATTTGAAAATTTTATTAATGCTACTGTAGAAAATGATTTTTAATAAATAATTGCATTTGATGCGTGTGATGTTAAATCGTAAATTGCTACTTGATAATCAGATCAGAAATATTTAAAGTTACTTGATCGCCATTGGCATATTGGTGTATACTTTTTGTAATAAAATGGTTTTCCAAATTCATTGAAGCAAGGATTATTCTATACGTGTCGTCGAAATTCAGGAATTACAACGGGTTACGGCATTTCGGCTAAGCTGTAATTATTACGGCACGGCAATATAAACTCCGTAATGTCATAATGCCGTGATAGCTGTAATTTACTCATGTCGTAATTTATAAAGTGTCTACGTAACAAAATAATATTTTAATTAGTATTTTCTTTTTCACATTTAAAGGTAATGTTATCATATTTATTTGACATTATGGCCATATACGGCTATAGGGTCCTAGCTTAATGTCTTAATTTTTAAATAATTATAATGCCGTTAAAGCCTAAATGTCGTAAATAATTAAGGAATTAAGGTTTTCAACTTTTAAGGCAAACAATACGGCTTGTGCATAACCGTAAAAATCGTCAAATATAATTTTGACATGTATTTATTCAAAGGATCTCTGGTGTGTATTTCGCAGTGAAAAAGTTATTAAATTTCAGTTACGTGAAATCCTCTTCGCCAAATAATATAAAAGCATTAGTTTGCTATATTACAAAGATGCTGATATACTAAATATGTACAATGCAATATAAAAATAGAAAATTATAAAGAAAATTATTGTTTTAAATGATTATTTTATTGTTAATAATATTATAAGTAAGCAACTATTGACTACATAAAAGTCTGCTCACACTCCCTGCAAAATTTTATTGTCTATATTTTTTTTTTTCTGAATTTGGGCAGCATGTAGGGCTCACACTATAACTTTAATTTTTCACCAAAAATGACAATCATAACTTCAAGAAAATGTGAATGAATTTAGAGTTAATGTAGTTAGTGGTTGTTCAAGGAGTATAAATGTACTATTTTTTGATATTGTTATATATTTCCAATTTATACAAGGAAAACTGAACCAAGGTATAGCAAAGTTGGTTGATTCAGTTCAAAAATATCATGAAGGGCAACACAAAGTTTAAGCATTTCCATTTCTTTGAAACATGTTATATTTTGAATTACAGTTCATTACTCTTAGGTGATCAAACAAATTGAAAATGAAATTAAAGTAGGAATGAGAGAAGTACATAGTGTGAATATTTTAGATCTGCCACCTGTCAAAGCTAAGAAACATAATAAGTTCTTGAAATAATTTCTGATTGATGACAAATTTTGTTAAGATTTATTAAATTTAGACTGTTGATTCATAGTTAGAAATTTTTGATTAATTCTGATTTATAAATACAAATTTTTATTTCATAAATTTTTATAAATAAGATATCTGCCATCAATAGAATTCTGATTCTTGTTCATTCAACCAGTACCAAAAGAATCAATGATAAACTTTTATCAAACACTAGTCAAATGGAAAAAAAATAAGATGGTTTTATCATGAATAGAATTTTTTGGCTCATAGGTAGAAATTTCTGATTTATTCTGATTTATGAGTAGAAATCCAATTGCCCATCAATAAAATTCTATTTGATCAGTGAAAGTGTGTACCATTTTTTTTTTTTAACAATCAGTTGAATCAAATATTTATAGGTGACCTTTAACAAGACTAATGATTGTAATAATGCAATAAATAAAATTGCATATTCAAATACTGAGTTTGCAATAATCATTATTCCTTTGGAACAACTGCCTTCTGTACATGTTTCCAAAATTGATTTTGAAATAGAATTTATTCTATATGTGAAAGTAAAAAAAGTACCCAGTTAGGTGTATTTTTAATCAAAGAATTTTGTCTTCTATTCTATAAAATAATTTTGTCCTATAAAAAACTATTTACACGAATGAATTTCGGGTGTTTTCAAAATGGATATTTTGTGGAACGAACTTACGTTTCAATGATGATAAAATTAAAAACTGAATAATTAATTAACAGAGTACAGTTATCAGTAAGTTATCAGTGACCTGTTAATTCTTTTATTTATATGATACTCATAACCAACCAATCAATTAAAAAAAAATTATAACTACAAATTTACATTTCTTCGAGTCAAAATGTTTCGATGATTTTACTGGTAAAAAAAAAAAAAAATTAAAAAAAAATTTATTTTATAAAACTCTAAAAAGAAATTTTAACAATTATTTTCTTTTATATTATTGATATCTCGTGACGTAACATAAGATAACGTTTATCGTTAGTTTAACCTTTAACACGTAATTTCAAACATACGTACGTAATACAAAAAAAAATATGCTATAAAATGTTCACTTTTTCTGAAAAAAAATTTTTTTTCTAACTCTATCCACTTTCTTTGACGTTCAATCATTAAAATATAATCTATTTCCTTTTCCTCCTAAATTTACATAACGAAGGTAGGGTAGTAGGTTATATTTAGCATTTGTATTTAGTGCGGAGAAAGTTTATCATGTTAATGATGGTAAAGATAAAAAATTGAACTTACAAAATCAGAATGGTTATAAGAATTCAAGATCTTACGGGTTTCTAACTAGAAAAGTAGGATTATTAAAATTTCATGAATTCACGGATAAAAACCATCCAAGCCCAAGTATTTTTATTCAAAATTTTCGTATGACAAATTAATTGAATTTAATGTTTCACAAAAACTTTTTTTTGCATTATCCGATATGCCGAAAACTCAAAAATTAGAAAATGGATCATTACCTTATACATCATTTAATATTACTATACTAAACAAGTAACCATAAAAAAATCGGCGTAAACCCAATTTTTATTCAAGGATAGGATAAATTGAGAACCCGAAAAGTTATTATCTAAGGAATGATTATTATTTGTAAATAAAAATTTCATTGTTTTTTTTATTTGAATAAAGTTAAAATATAATGTCATGAATTTAACCAAAAGGAGCAATGGTTATAATTCCATTACCTAAAATTGAACAAATATTGCCCGAAGAATAATTATAAATATGGAGATTTCTTTTTTATTTGGTTTTTACGCGACAAAAATAAAATAAAATAATTTAATATTTGCATAATATTTATAAAATTCATAAAATAAATAAAAATAAAAGAAAGAGAAAGAAAGAAAGAAAATAAATAAATCATAATAAAAAAAGAATCATGTCAAGCAATGAAATTAATAATAATTCCGATGTCAAGAGACGTCGAGTAGCTAGAGCGTGTGATGGTTGTAGAAGGAAAAAAATTCGTTGTGATGGAGCTCAACCTGGTTCTGATCCACCGTCTTGTACCAATTGTAAAATTTATAAATGCGAATGGTATTTTATTTATTTTATTTTTATTTATTTTATTTCTTAAAAAAATAGATAGATAGATAGATAGATAGATATATATATATTTAAAATATTTGATTATTTATAATTATTATAAATTGTTGTTTTATTTAGTTCATATATTGATGCCCCGAAAAAGAGAGGACCACCTAAAGGTTATATTGAAGCCTTAGAGACAAGACTTCAACGAATGGAATCAGTTATAAAGAATTTGGTACAATCAGGAGAATTACCAGAAAATGTTATTGGCAATTCAAATCTTGAATGGATTAATGTAAACGATAATAATTTTAAATCCTACCAAAAAAAAAAAAAATCCCCAACAATTAATTCTACCTTAACCACCAATAATTCTATTATAGCAATTAATCATAATGATGATGATAATAATAATAATAATAATAATAATAATAATAATGAAAATCCATGTTCTTTAAATGATAATAGACTTGGTCATTTGGCAATTGATGGAAAAGGTCATACAAGATATATTGGAGATAGTTCTAATTTACTTATGCTTAAATATACTAAAAATATTACGCGTGATCAAATCATTGTCATTCCTCGTGAAGAATTTTTTCATCCTAAAAGTGAGAAAACAAGTAAAGAAGAAGAAGAAAATATTAGATTAGAACTTCCACCTAAAGAAATAAGTGATAAATTATTAGAAATTTATTGGAAAGATATGTATTTTTATATGCCAATAATTGATAAACAAGATTTAATGGAAAAATACAATAGAAAAGAATTAAATCGTTATCAAACAATACTTTTATATGCAATTTTAGCGATTACATTAAAGTATAATAATTTTGGTGAAGATCCAAACAATACAGAAGATGAAAAATATTTTGAACGAGCTAAAGAATTACTTAAAGAAGAATTTGAACATGCGACTTTACCAATTATTCAAGCCATTTTATTATTAGCTCTTCATCAACTTGGTAAAAAGAATTCACGTCCATGGATTTATATAGGTTTAGCGATACGACTTGCACAAGATATGGGAATACATCGAGATTCGGCGAATTGGAAACTTGATGAAAAAGAAGCCGAAATTAGAAGACGAACTTGGTGGGCATGCATTATAATTGATAGTTTTATTAGTGCAACATTAGGTCGGGTATGTATTATTTAATTATTATTATTGTTATTTAATTATTAATTATTATTAAAAATTACTCACATATATATATATATATTAATTTATTTATTTATATTTAATAGCCACTTGGAATCAATGAAATTGATTATGATGTTCGATTACCAGTTGCCGGAGTAATGGATAAAAATTCACCAAATTCAATAGAAGCATTTGTTCAAATAATTAAAATCGGATCTATTCTTTCACGAATTCTTCAACAAATTTATGTAATCAAATCTAAACGAACCACCAACACCACAACAACAAAGGACAATAATAATAATAATAATAAAGATAATATTTTAGTAAAATTAGATGAAGAACTTAATGAATGGCGTGATAATTTACCTATTCAATTTAAATATGATAATATAAATAGAAATCCATCATTAAATAATTCAATCATATTTATTCATTTATTATATTATACAACTCAAATTCTTTTACATCGTCCATATATTATTATACCAAAGTCAACAAAATCATCAAAATCAACAAAATCATCATCATCATCAAATACAATTTCATCACATACGATATGTACAATGGCAGCCACTAATATAACACATATTTATTATCGTGGTGTTAAAAACATGGAAAAAATCAAACCTGCTTGGTGTTATGGAATTTTTTTTTTCTACACAGCAATTTCAATTCACGTTATTAATATTTTAAGTGAAGATGAAAGATTTAAAGAAATAGCAAAACAAGGTCTTAGAATGACAATAAAATGTTTTGAACCATTATTATCATTATCGAATGGACCAACAGAAAAATGTATGTCATTAATATACGAATTATTAAATAATGAAAAAGATAATAATAATAATAGTCATCCTCTTGATCAAAAGGAAAAATCATCATCATCATCAAAAAAATGTCAATTTTTAAATATGACGAAATTAGATGAATCTAATATCGGTTCAAAAATTGATTTATTAGAAATTCCTCGTGTTGTTACCTTTGCATCATCATCATCATCATCACCATCATCATCATCATCATCATCATCATCATCATTATCACCATTACCATTAACAGCAACCTCGATTCAAGAATATAATCAAGAATATAATAATAATAATAATAATAATAATAATAATAATAATAATAATAATAATAATAATAATAATAATAATAATAAT